GTCGGTTCAGGTGGTCCGCGCATTAAGGGCTGGCTTCTCAATAGCGAGTCACCTCCGGGTTGGTTTTAACTCCAGGTTAAACGTCCAGTTGCAATATCTACCCTGGAGTTAGGCTTAACCCGGGGGTGACTTGTTAGCCAGTTTGTTGAGTTTTTTTTTTCAAATCTCTTGCTCTGAAAGATTCAAGAGACTCAAAATGGAGTTATTTATCAAATTTGGTTGTCAAGGAGGTAATATATTAGTATAGTTTCTATTCAATTCAATTTTTTGAGCGTAACTCACAGTTGGGGTCGTAGTCTTCAACAAAGCTGCTGTGTTTCTTGGGGGAGAAGAGCTTTGAGCTGGTGTTGGTTTCGGTGGAATTAAAGGGACATTTCTGATTGGCCAAATGTGCACCTCCACAGTTGACACATGTTGGGAGGGAATATCTGTATTTTGTACATTTTTGGTAAAAATTATTGCCAGCACACCGGTGACATTTAGGCTCGGCACAGCAGTTAGATATAGTATGCCCAAACTGCTGACAGTTATGAATTTGAGAGGGACATACTGTTTCCCTTGCTATGCTGATCCTCAATGGTAGCTAATCCGTTTGATTTTGTAAAATTCGTTCACTTTACTCGGAAAGACCAGGAGTTTTATCAGAGAAGAGCCTTTACTCCCATTTCTCTGAGAACGCTTGAACCTTTGAATTTCTCTTGGGCAGAAACCCAAAGATTCAAGTTCCTCCTGAACTTTACTTGATTCCTGTTTAGTCGTTTGATGACAATGTTGATTATCTTTTCGTCAAGTAGAAAATATAAATGATATTCAATTTTTTATTCATGCAAGAATTTTGCTATACGATGATTGTCAGCAGTGTCAGTTCCCTAGTTCCCAATTCTAAAATAGTCAGTAATTATTGTTTTAGTTTTCGAATGTTTCTTAAAATGATCGGACCAGTTTTAGGGGAATTGCTTTTAGTGTGTTTTGTTTCACTAGTCTCAGTCTGTGAAGAGTCGCCGTTTTTGTTTTTAAAAAAAGTGAGAAGTTTTATGTTTGGAGAGTGAGGGAAATTAAAATGCGTATAGTTAATTTTTATTTTTATTTTTTTGAATGGGGAAATTCAATATCAGACACGTCCATTTGGGTCTCCTGAGAAGAGTTATTGTCATGGTCAGGTACGGGGCTGCCCATTTGAATGTCCAAGTCAAAGTCTAACTGAGTCAGTACATCCTTGGTAATGTTCTGAGTTTCACATGCAATGTAGCTGAGTCGTTGTGTGGAGCAGCTTTCAACTCAACCTTCACTTTATCATTGTCAAACTTTGTTTAACTTAAAATTTTCAGTTTTTCAACTTCTTGAATTATATAAATTTCAAGAGAAATACGTGGTATAGTTACCTTTCAGAGATGGTAGATACAATACCCATATTTTCTACAAAAAAAAAGACAAAATGCAGGAATGGTTGACTAAAGATGAGATATTCTTCGATAAAATCATGATTGAAAAACAACTATGTAAATTGATACAATCATTTAGAAATTCATTAAAACGTTACAAAATTGACAAGATTTTGAAAGAACACGGTCTTGTAAAACTTCTGCAACAAAACTATATTCTTGTAACCATTATCAAAGGAAAGGGTTGCGAGAATAGGACGCGAGTCACTTCAAAAATGTACCTTAGACTTGTGGACAAACTTTTGTGGACATTGCAAAACCATTATTTCGGAAGACTGTACAAAACATATGGGAACCTTTTGACAATATTCCTCCTATCATCATTTCGCTTGGAAAACTCCTGGAGGAAAGTTTGAAAATAAAGGTCTCATTAGAATCGCTATTCAAATGAGAAATTCAGCGTCGGTCCTTGACATTTGGGAAGAAATTTTGTTTATCTAATTGTTACAATACTTATTGTCAATATTTTTGTACTAGAAAACCCTAAAATATTTTCAAGTTGCAAGAAAGCATATTCACAGACTTGGACCTAGCGTATACTATACAGGCTTCCTAGCTACTATTGTTTACATTTCTTTCTATTATCACAAAACCTTATTCTGTATGCCAGTTCGGCAGCACTCGAGTCCCGTTCGGTGTTCGGTCGGCATAGAGAAATAGAAAGACCCGTTTAGGTCTTTCTGTAACGGAAAAATTGTTTCTATCTTTAGGGAGTTTTTGAACCCATTATTTTACGTACGCTTATTAACGTTATCGGTTATTGTGCACATGCGCAGTGTAGCATTCCGTAAATAAGAATTTGTGAAAAGAAAGTACTTTTTAAGCCTTCTAAATACTGCGTAAATAACGTATCCCTTCACTCTTTTTTGAAAGTAGAGGTTATGGTCATTGTTTTTTTGGTGTCCGAATAATTTTTGTTTGATAATAATAGTTATTTATGTATCAAGGGTACTAAGTAGATGATTATGCCCTGAGGGCGACAGTCTTACAAAGCCGAGAGCCTCTGGCCCGAGGGTTCGTAAGTCGCCCGAGGGTATATATCTATTAGTACCCGTGGTGCATACAAACTTTTATGTCATACCAGTTGGTTGTGAATAATAAATAGGTACAGATCGTTTCAACAGGGTTCATACTTTTGATATCGAACGCGTTATAACTTGAGAAAAAAGGGTTGTCGTAGATTAATTCATATGACACATTCAATTTTTTTGACAGAGTTCTGGTTTTAGAGCCGACGAACGTTTTTGACGTTATTGATTTGTTTCAGTCATTTTCCATTTATTAGAAAAGGAAGGCAAAAAGTATGAACCTTGGTGAAACAAAGCTTACCTGGGAAAAAACGGCACTTTGCAAATTGTCATCAGTGTGCAAAATCATCATTTTTTGACAAAAATAATATGTTTATTTGTCACTCATTTGTAAAACGTCACTTATCAAGTCAAAACATAACCAGCGAAAATTGATTTTTACAAGCTACTGGCTCTACTGACTTGTAAAATTGACAGCTAAACTGTAAAAACTTTTTACAAGTCAGTAAAATTATTTATTTTTGAAAAATCGGTTTTATCACAAGAATAATTGCTTGTAGGTACCTTCTGGGAGACTTTTCTGGTGATAAACTGTTGGCTACGACTGAGGCTTCATTAATAATATCTTGTAATAAATTCATTTCTGGAAAAAAATTGCAAAATGGAAATCTGTCAAAAAACCTATTTATAACTAGGAACAACGTCTTAACAACGTATCATTCTCATAGTTATACCAACTACCAAAACTTCTGTGAGAAAAAATCAAGGAAAAACATATAAATTTCAAATTTTTGTTATGTATTGATTTTTTATTTGTCCCTATATCTTTTACAAATGAGTAACAAATAAATTATTGTACATTATACGCCAGGTAGCAGTTTTTACTGGCTCTTGAAGGTGACAAGCTCACCTGGCGGCTCGCTAGTCATTTCCTTCAATCGCCAGTAAAAACTGTTTTACCTGGCTAATAATGTAAAATACTATTATAAGCGTAAATTTATATTTTGTTATAAAAAATAAGTTAATTGAAAACTGTTTTTTGCGTCTTTATGCCCGCGCGGGCCATAATGTGTATTCTGTAATCAATAATCAATTATGTAGATGGTATCTAAGGTATAAAAGCACAATAATGTATTGGTATGACATAAAAATAATAATAGATCATATTTTACAATATGTGATCAATCGCAGAAATCCTCATGGAATTGATCATAATTTGATTAGGGGCATAATTTTGCATGACATATTTGATAATCCTCAGGGAGAGGAAGGAGAAGACTTCCCTCTGCGACCAGCTTTTGATGTGGAAGATATGGAGGCCAGAGAAGCGAAAGTTAACTTCAGATTTTGTAAAGAGCACATACCGAGGCTATGCCGAGCTTTACGTATACCAGAGCGAATTGTCACACAATCTGGATATCAAGCAACTGGTGTGCAAATTAACTTTTTCCATTTCAGGCATCGAGGGTTTATGCATGTTGCTAAGACGATTAGCATATCCTAATCGCCTATGCGACCTACAATATGTTTTTGAAAGGTCTAATTCAGCCCTTTCAGAGATAATAAATTATGTGAATACACACATGTGTGACCAGTTTAGACATCTTGTGGAGGATCTAAATAATCTTCAGTGGTTAGATCAAGACAGGCTCCAACAATATGCACTGGTTAGTGGATGAACATAGCAGAAATATTTTTATGGACATACTTGATTTTTAGGCTATTGCTGCCAGAGGGGCAATGGTGCCTAATTGTTGGGGCTTTATTGATGGTACAGTAAGGCCTATCTGTCGCCCTTCAATTGAACAAGAGAACTATTATTCAGGTCACAAACGACTACACTGTGTGAAATATCAGTCTATAGTTACCCCAGATGGTATCACTGTAAGCGAGCTTGGGGCCTTTGAAGGAAGAAGGCACGATGCAGGCATTTTCAGAGAATCTGGCATTTATGAACAATTAGAAGGAAAAGCAAGATTTCCTGATGGAAACCATTTTGTAATTTATGGTGACCAGGCTTATGGTATCCGAGAATTGCTCTTATGTCCATATCCTGGTCATGGCATCAATCAAGAACAACAAAACTTTAATGCTTCAATGTCAGTAGTAAGAGAAGCTGTAGAATGGAGTTTTGGCAAAATAATCGCAGAATTTGCGTTTCTGGATTTTAAGAAGAATCAAAAACTCCTATTACAGGATATTGAATCTATGTACAAGACTGCTACTATTTTAACAAACTGCTACAGTTGCCTTTATGGTAATCAAACTTCTATATTTTTTAACATAAATCCTGTTCCTTAATGTAAACATGTAATTTATAAGATTAATATAAAAATAAAACTAAATGTTTTTTTTTCGTATTTATTGTAAACTATTTAATAAAACTACATAAATTATAGAAACTACAATATAAACAAAAACAACTCGATACAAATTTTATTAATTTTTAACCCAATGTATGTACTGGAAAAAATCAGCCACAATTTTTGTTCAAAAAATACTTTATCACATCGTCCTGCTTTTGAATTACGTCTGCTAACTGCTGTCTTTGGTCAATTTCTGCAGTCAACTTCTTGTCTGCCAACTCAATAAGCATTCTTGTGTGATTGTCAGCGGTGGACATTTGTTTTTCAAGGAGAGCTATTTTCCTCTCCTCTATGGCCAATTTCCTCTCTTCTAGCGCCAATCTCTTCTCTTCCAATTCCATTTCCTTTTTTTTTGTTGCCCCTTGGTTTGCATCGTATGCCTCCAAGTAAGCCAATCCTTGCCTTTGAGTATTGGCTTTTCTTTTTCTCGATCTTATAGGAGCTTTGAAAAAAAAAATCAATACAGATAGTTAGAAGAGAAGAATATTAAGTACATTATTTACCTAGCACTCTGGATGGCTTATAGACCCTGAGTTAGGGCCTGTTTAGTGGAGTCATTTTTTTTGGCTGGCATTTTGAGGGATGAATGCGACTAGTTAGCTGATGAGAATATAAGTGGTTTTAATGCCTGCCTCCTGTTCGAAATGTCCACAGAATGTTTCGCCGGAAAACTCGATTTCGAACTGTGATTACCGTCTGGCGATTTTTCAGCGTTATTTTCACAACAAACCCTTTCATTCTCTCGATTGCCAGACAAAAAGTAAACGCTTCTATTCTTTTCTCTTGGAAGTTGACACCCATCACCATTTTTTCAGCTATTGAAAAGCATCTGATATTTTTCATGGGTGAATTATTTATCAATGTCAATCTTTTATTTAAAAGGTAGAAGATTTGAGATCATTAAAAAAAAATTCTTCATGTAAATCAATTTTTTTCTTCTGCAAATTTTCGAACGGGAGGCCGGCATTAAAATCACCCATATTCTCATCAGCTTAGTAGCCACATTCAGCCCTCAAAATGCCAGACAAAAAAAAATGACTCCACTAAACAGCTCCTATCTCACAGTCTATTAGGAGTAATCGAATGGGTTGTCAAAACAGGGGGTTCCATTGTTGGTAATGGGGTCGGCCCTAAAAATTACCATATTTAAAATTTCCCATTTGTAAGTAGAGCAGATTTCCAAATCTATATTACCATTTTCTTGAGTATTTTCATTTTCAATACCTTCAACGTTTTCGCTTTGGCAAAAAAAACGAATAGTCCTGCTCATTCGGAATTTCCTCTTCTTTTTCCAAATGCTGGGAAGCCTCTACTACGGCTAAAAAATTGAAGTTTAGAAACTAACATAGAATTCACAGTACTTAGTTAAATAAGGTTCATTTGGCTTAGTTTTGAAGCACACAGACTCTTTTAATATTTGGGGATGAATGCTGTGTGTACGTTCAAGGATTGACTGAGATTGAGAGATACAAAAACCTTTTGATCACTCTTTTAATATTGACTGAAAATTTTTCAATTAAGTATATACTTATAACCATAACTATCTGGTCGAATATCTGGTATTCCCACTTCTTGGCTTAAATCAATTGATGTAGAAGCACAACGGTCACGTGCTTTTACACCCTTATTTTTGGATACAAGGATGTTTCGTTTCTGATGTTTTTGATTTTCTTTCCCACACATCAGCTCATGAACGTTTTGACATAAAACCTCCTTTTCTGTCTGGATAACTTCTATCCCGGATCTAGGAGAAAAATTTAGATTAGAATCCTAAAATTTAATGATGTAATAAAAAGAAACAGTGCAAAAACACAAAAACGTTTAGGTACTTACAGGTTTTTCAAATTTTTGAAGTCCTTCAGCCATAACTTTACCAGTAACTCCAAATGTTCTTTTAGGGTTCTTACAAGAAAGTGTTTTTTCGTCAGAGACAGCATATTCTCTTGAATTATGTTCCATGCTGCTGGATTATCAATGGGGTTCTGTCCCAAAACCTCTCTTAAGAGACTGAGATCATCATGATCCGAGAAACGCAGCCGTTTTTTTGTAATCTGATCCATCATTGATAAGAACAAATTAGCAAATAATAAAAACTAATAATTCACTAATACAAATTAAAAACAAGTCCACGAAATACAAATTGCAAATTATCAAAATAGAAAATTAGCACATGGGGCAAAGAGATAAACATAATAGTTATTTATGTATCAAGGGTACTAAGTAGATGATTATGCCCTGAGGGCGACAGTCTTACAAAGCCGAGGGCCTCTGGCCCGAGGGTTCGTAAGTCGCCCGAGGGTATATATAGTCCAACAAATACCATTTTAAAGTCACGTGATTTTTCTCTATCCTTGTTGAATACATCTCAAACAGCGGTGATAGTAAAATTGACAAAAAAATTGCTGTCTAATTATTCTTCATAATATTCTTACCTGAAATAGAATCCGTCACTGTCATGAATTAGTTTGTCAAAGTTATTTTCGAAAATAATACAATGAACAAACACAGCTAATAATTTTGACTATATTAACCTTTTTCCGACTCGAAAAGAAGCAAATAGAAAACGGGTACCCAGTTTAAGTTCAGAATGTATTACAACAGACAGCAGATACGACAAAAGTGAGTCTCGCAACAATTGCAAGTAATAAAATTGCCCTCTGATTGGTTAATACTACTTCAGAAACGCGTTTGTAAAATGCTAGTGGGAACATATCCTAAAATTCAATAGTAATTAATCCCCAGTAGCATTTTGTAGGTGATATTTACGACATAATCAATGGACATACGTTATTTGCCACCAGTATCACGTGACTTTAAAATGGTATTTGTCGGACTATATCTATTAGTACCCGTGGTGCATACAAACTTTTATGTCATACCAGTTGGTTGTGAATAATAAATAGGTACCTGGAAAAAAAAACGTCACTTTGCAAATTGTCATCAGTGTGCAAAATCATCATTTTTTGACAAAAATAATATGTTTATAAGCGTAAATTTATATTTTGTTAATAAAGAATAAGTTAATTGAAAACTGTTTTTTGCGTCTTTATGCCCGCGCGGGCCATAATGTGTACTTTATGCCCGCACGGGCATAAAGTAATTAATTATGTAGATGGTATCTAAGGTATAAAAACACAATAATGTATTGGTATGACATAAATAAATGTATGTTAGTTAGAATGACAGACAAGAGACAAGTAAGTTTGAGGCGTTTTCAAAAATACACACAGGATCCGCCATGATGCCAGATTAATCTATTTATTACCGGATTTGTCAACTATTTTGGTTTAAAAAGATTAAAAAAGTCTTTAGTAACATGAATTCACACCCAGGGAAACATATGTTTGTAGAATTACTGTTTAAATTTTATTTTGATACTGAAATATGAACATAGAAAAATAATTGGCGGCAACCTTGCACAGTTTATTACCGGTTATTAAACGAACGTAATAGGCCCGCAACTAACGTGAAACGTTATCGCTTAATAGCGTGACCGGTTATTTTTTCGTTTCTGCGCATATGCACTATAACCGATAACGTGAATTGAACGTTAAATAGGTGGCTTAAAAACTCCCTTTTTTCTAACACATTATCGTGAAACGTTCCATTTCTGTCAGAGTTTATGTTATGTTTATTAGTGGTTATGTTTTGTAGTTTTGTTAAAGGTTTTGTCATATTTTGAATAGTTCTGTTTTGAATATTTCCCAGAGAAATTTCCTAATTTCGTATTTGGGAAGTAAAATAACCGTCTTTAATATTTCCGTTTCTCTGAAATGTTATTTTAGCCTTAGCATTTAGTAAAAATACTGCGGTAAAATAGCGCAAATCACAAAAGGGTAAGTGGTGGGTACCATCGATACACCGTATCACTCTTGGAAATCCGAATTAGCCAAACATACTTCATCACTCAATGCCCTGCTAAATGTGGACTGAGACATACGTGTATTGAAGTCGTCTCCTATCGGCTTCTGATAGGAGCATTGAGCGAAAAATCTTAGAGCACCCAATACTCTAATTTGAATTGGGATTCTTCCGACTCTTACCACAGGAGCCATGTGTGGAGTGAGGTGAAAATACCTCCGGAATTCCCTTTCGGGCCTATGAAAGGCATTATACTCATCTCGCAAGGTTATCCTTTCCAATCTTAATTGTTCTTGACGCTCTTCTTCTTCCGCCTCGTCCACAAAATGCTTGAATACAGGGTCCATAATGGCTTATATCGATAATAAAAAATAATCAATAACAATGTGATATTGACATTGAACAGTTGATAACAACTGACAATTTAAAACACCACAAAAATAATGAAACTCTCTAGGAAAACACAATGTTTTCACGTCGGATAGTTTACGATATTTCTATTTCGACGTCACCCTAATCAACTTGGAAAGATGCTTACAGAATTAGTTTTTTATATTTACTGTCTATGTCTATCTCTTCTCTATGTCTATTTCTATTCGTTTACAGAATACGCCTCCTGGTGTTCCTGTTACCTTTCCTTCCCTGTTAGATTACCGCCAGGGCAGCTAGTTGCACGACGATAGCTGTGGAAAGGTTCCGTGCCAACAAAGAGATATCGTCCATTATGGGTTTCCAAGAGAAATTTATGGAACGATGAGTCAAGACTCTAAGATCTAAAAAAGACGGAGCGGTTTCTCCCGTTTTCGTGGACGAGCGGCAAAGCAAAATAAAAAAAAACCGCCACAAAACCGCAAAAGGTCTGTTTTGTCCCACAAATCAGGTGGGTTAGACGTATTGGTAGGCATTAAGACATAAATTACTCATGAAATATAGTTTCATCTCACTGTAGTAGTCATTTCATAGTTCTGATTAAACTTCAATGGGGTGAACAAGATGACAAACTAGGATGTCGCAAGGTGTAACATTGGCCGAAAGAAATATTAAAGGTAAATCACATTCCTACCAGGTTTATGGAAAAGTGTGTTGCCGCAACCATTTACATCAAAAATAGTTATTAGGCCTAATCTTATTTAAAATGTAGTTGAAGGGGGTGTGCGCCAAAAAAACAACTTTTTCTAAAAAAAAAAAATGTTAGAATAACAGTGAAAACCGCACCCTTCTATGACAATTAATACCGAAAATACGGCTCTATGAAGATACCGCGTCTCACCCTATGACGTCATGAGAGTTCAAGCACCGCACAAAGTGCATTGTATTTAATTTTTTTTTACCTGCAATAATCTAAACAAAAACTACTGACGCGTGCCGGGAACAATCCAATGAACAATGCGGAGCGCAGCTGGACGAAGCTCTCGTGACGTCACACATACTTTAAGGCGGTATATCTCAGCGATGATTTATCGTAGAATAACGAGGCATGAACAGTTATTCTTAGATTTTTTTGAGATAAAACTTTAATTTTTGACGGACACACACCCCCTTCAAGAATTTCCAATATATCAAAAGTAAGAAAAAATTATT